TAAAGATATTTATAGAGTTCTTGCATTCCACCTTCCTATCTGGTTTTGTGCATATGCAGTCCAGTGATGGCTATTTGTTTTTCTTTACTTATACTATCAATATTATTTGAAAAAATATAGATTTATTGTCCCAAGGCTTGAAAGTAGAAAATCATATTTAAAATTTAAATTTCAACTCAATAGCATAGGAATGCAGTGCAGGCCCAAGTTTTCATATCTGTAAACTGATTTTTGCAAATAAAAATAATACAGATTATTCTTTGCTAAATTATTCTTTGCTAAATTCTTTCCCAATGTTTCATTTTAAACAGGAATGAATTAAAACATATTTTTTGTAATTACTTGTGAATGACTCTAGAAAGAAGAAATATTCAAAAGAGTTTAAATATGCTGTAATAACAATCAAAATGTCCAGTCTTCTTAGGTGAGATGAGGTGAAGATAGATATTCTCTTGGTGAGAATAACAAGTAATTGATTTCAACAGAAAAAATATATCTTATACATAATACTACAACTAAGCCACTTAACCTATATGTAATAGAGCAGATTAGTAGGTGATATATCCAATTTATCAAGCAAAAAATTGAACTTTGTTGGCTCAAGGGAGTAGATCTAGTAAACATTGTTAATGATTCTGTTCATGAGAGAATACTTTCCTGACCATTTGGTATGAATTCATTTATAGTAAATGATGAAATTATGTAATAAATAATTTATATACCCATGCACAATATTGTAGTCTTGAATTTAACTATCTTAAGCCTAGTATTGATAAATAAATAGGTAGATTACCTTTAATCACCCTAATACTGACCAGTCTATCAGAAAAATATTGAGATTTGTCTCATCCCTTTCATTGTGCTTACCACAGGACCATATTCCATAAATTGCACCTACCAAAGGACCATTTCCAAATTTTATTTGGCTACATCAAAATTATCATTAAAGTCATAATAGGTATAGCTGACTATAGCCCATTATTATGTTTAGATATATAGAATAATAGAAATTATAATGTTAATCATTCCTGAAAGCAAATGGAAAGGAGACATTCTTTCCGAAAGTCATATTATACATATATATTATACATATACACATTAGACATATATATTTTACATATACATATGTGTAATGAAATGCTATATAGTTTGTATTACCCTTAGGTTACCTGCATAGATTTAGTAAAGATACTGAAGTTTGGGGAAAGAATTAACCTCTTGTTTATAAAAATGATCGTCTCTGATGTTTAAAGATGCATAAAGTTCTTATGCTTTGAGTCCAATTGCTCAGCTATGAACTCATAATCAATTATTTTTGAATGATGTTGACATGAAAATGAACATTTATCTTCAACTGGTGATCTATTCTAATTCATCTGAGACATACTATCATCCAAAGTCTTTTATTAACCATTTTCTTAATTTCTAAAGCTCGTGTGATTGTAAATCTTAAAGTGATTATATCAGTTAGGATGCCCTGGACTTCAAATACAGTAGGCTAGTTTCAAAATAAGAACATTTCAAATATTGCTTGTAACTGGAAATCAATTATTGAAGGGCTGCATATGATGCAGGCGCTCTGGTGGGTACATGTTGGATCGCTAACCTCAAGGTTATCTGAGCAAGCTCACCAGCTGCTCAGCAGGAGAAATATTAGGCAGTTTTCTCCCATAAAGATATGTAGACTCAGACCCCTACACAGGGTCGCTTTGCGTTGGAATCAACTTGATGACAGGGGAATTAAAAAGATGCACACACATATATATGTGTGCTATATGTAGAGCACTAATGGCCCTGTGGAATAGGCTTTGGGCTGACAACTGCAAAGTTGGCAGTTCAAACCAACCAGGAAGTCCTCCAGAGAAAGATGAGGCTGCCCTCTTCTACAAGTTTTACAGGCTACTAGAATTACTATGAATCAGAACTGACTCAATGGCAGTGAGCTAGATTGGGGTTTTTATACAAAGTCGAAAGTATGGAGTCACTACTCTACTGCTCACACTATCCAATGAGGTAGGAGCTATCGTTATATCATTATGAAGAAGATGAAACACACACAGAAAAAGTAACTTGTCTAAGACTATGTAGAAGTGGAAAGTGCAGAACTTGAACATGGGAGTTCAGGCTGCAAAGACTAGGGCTTTAAGTCCTATGCCCTACTGCTGTTTACATGACCGGAGATGCATACCTTAGGTGGGATCAAAACACAATATGATCTTGAGGTTAGCAATATCACCATCCTTGTTTCTGCTTTATCTTTCTCGATGTTGGCCCCACAGTAAGACTGGTCTCCGACATGATTGCTAGATTGCAATCCTGCAATGATGAGAGGGATACGTGTCTCTTTGTTTCTGTTTAACTTAGAGAGTGCGTGAGAAAGAGAAGAGGTATGGGGAATGACACTTTTCTCTTTGTTCGGTTGTACCAGTTTTGCTTAGCTGTTTTCCTCTTGACTGTCTCTAGGGGGAATACCAAGATCCCATTTGCAAGGCCCTCAGATTTCTGAATCAAAGCAGGGTTTTGTTAGGAGAAAGAAGGGAAGAAAGGGATCACTGCTGAGCAACCTGGACTTCATCTTCAGTTAAATTAATATACTGAAGCTAGTCTGAATGTAACACCAGTGTATAGAACAATCTATTTCTCTCTTTGGCATACATCATGGATTGACATTTGTAATCAAGGGATTTGTAATCTCTAGTTCCTACATTCATTCAACAAATCTGTCTTTGGACTTTTATGTTCCAGGGCATTCCCGGGATACGTGGAAAAAAAGGTCCTAAGGGAAGACAGGTAATTTTATGTTTCTTGAGCTTCAGTTAAGCCCAATACGATAAAATTATATGTTTATTTAGCTATTACAATATGAATGTGTTTTGGTTGTTGTTTTAATCCACAATCTATATCATTCAACAGAATTTCATTTTTGTCACTTCATAGTCTACCAAATAATCACTTAGAATGTAATAGAAAATGTAGAATTTCAAAGAACTAAATTTAATATTTCTAACCCATTTAATATACTAGTGGAAGAAACTCTTACATGCCAAGGAATGAAAATGTCACAGATTATACGTAAATCCATTCAGCTGATTTTCAAAAGGGTTGAAATCCATTAAGTTGGGAAGAGATGGTGTTTTTAACAAATGTTGTTAGTAAAACAGGATATCCATTTGCATCAAAATGGATCAAAGACCACCGTTTTACCCATAAAACTATGAAATTGAAGGAAGAAAAATAAGAACAGCAATAGGAGACTTAACTTGTGGCCTAAATAGAATATCAAACATAACTAAAAATGAACAAACAGAAGATAAACTAGATCATTAAAACCTTTAAAAAATTTAATTTTTGTATTCATTCAAAACTTCATCAGAAGCATAAACAGAGAACCTACAGTTCGGGGGAATTTTTTTCACAAGCCTTTAATCTCTAAAATTTATAGAATATTCCAATATTTCAGCAACGAAAATAAAATCTAATTAAAACTGGGCACATGATATTTCACCAAAGGTGACACTTAGGTGGTCAATAAACACATGAAGCACTGCTCACATCACCCACCAGAGATACCTAAGTCACAGCTAGATGGAGACAGCATCTCCTCCGGGCATGGATGACACAGAACAGAAACAGGGAGCAACAAATGCGGGCAAGAGTTCGGGGAGTTTGGAACTCTTATATGCTGCTGGTGGGACTGTTAAATGCTACAACCACCGTGCAATATTGTATGTGGCTTCCTATAAAAAGATAAAAATAGAAATACCATATTGTCCAGTAATCCTATG